CTTAGCTCCATCTCTACCTCCCTAACCCCTCAAAATCATATCTTTTTTTTTCTGAAAAAATATTTAATAACATATCAACTTCAGTTTGTGTTGTCCATATATACTCCTGGGTGTGGAGCCATCCACTGGAGTGTAAGAATACTACACATTGTTATGAGTTAAAGTCACTATTCACGGGACTGGAGAGATGGTTCAGCAATTAAGAGCACTGGCTGGTCTTGCAGAGGACCTGGGTTCAAATCCCAGCACCCACATAGTGGCTAACAACCATCCCTAACTCCTGTTCCAGGAAAATCTGATGCCCTCTTCTGACCTTCACAGGCATTGCATGATGTGGGTGCACTTACATACATGTAGGCAATACATTTAAACACAAAAAATAATAATTAAAATATTTTTTTGAAAGTCACTATCCATGTAGTGCAATAGATGTCTAAAACTTATTCCTCTGAAGGCTGAAATTTTGCATCTTTTGACCAACGCCTTCCCACCTTTCACGGCTTCCATCTTCCTGGTAATCACTGTTCTGCTCTCTGCTTCTGAGTCTGGTTTCATCTGATCCTTTTTTATTATTTTTCTTTTGTTTCTGTTTTCTTTATTTTCTTTTCTTTTTTCTTTTTTTTTTTTTTGAGACAGGGTTTCATTTTGTAGCCCAGGCTGGCCTGGAACTCACAGTAATCCTGCTTCAGTCTCAGGAATGCTGGGATTACAGGTGTGAGTGAATATGCCTACAGCCTGAGTCAACTACTGTGCATTCTGTATCCTTATGTCTCCGATTTGTAGCCCACCATGATATGACATGGTCACAGGGAATTTTGAGACAGATTCCTATGACAATAAGATGACACACAATTTATAGTCTCTACCAACTATAGTTAGTTACACTTTATGTCTGTCTTTTGCTGTAACAGACTCAAGTCATAATTAGTGGTCTCTAATAACAGCAAAATTCCCAATGGTGAAGGAAGCCATTACAGTAGTTAACATAGCCATTTCCTCTCAGAAATAAATGTTCCTTTACCTAATGTATAAAAAAATCAATATACTGAATGCCTTTTTCCAATAATCTTGGTTCAACCAGAAACTGTGAAAATTAAAGTCAAATCTTGCCAGACAATATTCTGCTGCTGATGGGAAGGTGTATAAAGCACTTGTCAGTTCTTCCAAAGCAGTACATCAGAGCTGAGATCATCCAGAAGGGACGGTCATAACCAGACCCCAGAGCCTCCCTGGCTTTCTGGCTTTCAGACAACAGCTCTTCCCGCATGATGTCATGAACACTCCTTACTTTTCCTCCTACAGCTATCCAGGCATGCCCACCAAAAATACTGGTATAGCAAGGGAAATCTTGTGAGTCTAACTTTTTGTCTTTTCTTTTAGTTTTCTATATATCTTATTTCTTCTATAGAAATAAATTTTTGTATTTCTTTTTTAAGGTCTATCATATTTATTTACTTATACACAGACTTCTTCCAAAAATAATTTGAAGTGGCAACATACAAAATAAAAATATTCCTACACTCAAAAGTTTGGCTGTTACTTTGTTCTAATGAATATAAGATTTCATTTAGAGTTACACTTCTATCTAGCAAGTAAAAACTTTCATGTTTACCTCATTCACTATGTTCTGTGTTACAAACTGCACATTTTCAAGATTTAGGCAGACCTTAAAGTTGGATTGGTTGTTTTGGGAAAGTCATAAATAAATAAATAAATGGTCTAAATGAATGGTCTTTCTCTAAATTACGGTGCTTTCAGTCTGAGATATATATGGATGGGACCATGTACTGGCAGAGGCAGAATATGAGATGATGAACCTGCAAGCCAAGAAATACCAAAGAGCCAGCCACCACCAGAAGCTAGGAAGGAATCCTTCCCAGGCTCAGAGAGGAAAAGAGCCTGGCCCAGCCAACACATTGATTTCTGTATTTCTTATGCCTCTA